GCTGCAGTCAATCATCGAGAAGTGCCAAACAAAGGACCTGACCATTCTGATGGGGGATTTCAACGCCAAGTTTGGAACGGACAACACTGGATATGAAGACATCATGGGACGACATGGACTGGGAGAAAGAAACGAAAATGGTGAGAGATTTGCAAACCTATGTGCCTTCAATAAACTGGTCATAGGCGGCATCATATTCCCACATAAACGCATTCACAAAACCACATGGACTTCACCGGATCACACCACGCAAAACCAAATCAACCATATTTGCATCAACAAAACGTTCAGGAGGGCTATAGAGGACGTGAGAACCAAGAGAGGAGCTGATATAGCATCAGATCATCACTTGCTGGTCGCCAAGATGAAATTGAAACTCAAGAAGCACTGGACAATGGGGCGGACAATATCACAAAAGTTCAATATGGCCTTTCTTCAGGATACTAACAAACTCAACAAATTCAAGATAGTCCTCAGCAACAAGTTTCAGGCCTTTCATGATCTACTCAATAGAGAAGGAACTACTGGGGAGAGCAACTGGAAGGGGATCAAAGAGGCAATCACTTCAACATGTCATGAGGTCCTGAGCCACAAGAAGCACTATCACAAGAAATGGACAACTGTTGATACATTGGATAAAATTTAAGAAAAGAGGGACAAGAAAGCAGCAATCAATACCAGCCGAACAAGGGCAGAAAAAGCCAAGGCACAAGCTGAATACACAGAAGTGAACAAACAAGTGAAGAAGAGCATCAGAACCGACAAACGTAAATACGTGGAAGATCTAGTAAAGACAGCGGAAAAGGCTGCAAGAGAAGGGAACATGAGACACACGACAAAGAAACTCTCTGGAAATCACCGTAAACCAGAACGACCAGTGAAAAGCAAGGAAGGCGAGGTAATCACCAACATTGAAGAGCAACAAAACAGGTGGTTAGATTACCTTAAAGAACTCTTGAATCGACCAGCTCCACTGAACCCACCCAACATCGAAGCAGCACCCACGGACCTCCCAATCAACGTTGGCCCACCAACAATTGAAGAAATCAGCATGGCCATCAGACAAATCAAGAGTGGCAAAGCAGCAGGACCAGACAACATTCCAGCAGAGGCACTAAAAGCAGACGTAGCGGCAACTGCAAGGATACTCCACATTCTCTTCAATAAGATTTGGGATGAGGAACAAGTACCAAAAGACTGGAAAGAAGAACTTCTGATCAAAATACCGAAGAAAGGCGATCTCAGCAAGTGTGATAACTACAGGGGCATCACTCTTCTCTCAATACCAGGAAGTCTTCAACAGGGTATTGTTAAACGGGATGAAGGACTGCGTATACGCTCAACTTCGTGACCAACAGGCAGGATTCTGTAAAAATAGATCAAGTACAGACCAAATCACAACTCTACGGATCATTGTGGAACAATCAATTGAATGGAATTCATCACTCTACATCAACTTCATTGACTACGAAAAAGCATTTGACAACGTGGGCAGGACAACACTATGGAAGCTTCTTCGACACTACGGTGTGCCTCAGAAGATAGTCAATATCATACAGAATTCATATGATGGATTAAACTGCAAAATCGTGCATGGAGGACAGTTGATAAAGTCGTTCGAAGTGAAGATCGGTGTCAGGCAAGGTTGCTTACTCTCATCCTTTCTCTTTCTCCTGGTGATCGACTGGATCATGTAGACGTCAACATCTGAAGGGAAACGCGGGATACAATGGACATCTAGGATGCAATTGGACGATCTGGACTTCGCAGATGTTCTGGCCCTTCTATCCCAAACGCAACAACAAATGCAGGAGAAGACGAGCAGTGTAGCAGCAGCCTCAGCAGCAGTAGGTCTCAATATACACAAAGGGAAGAGCAAGGTTCTCCGATACAACACAGCATGCACCGATCCAATCACAATTGACGGAGAAGATTTTCAAGATGTAAAAACCTTTACATATCTGGGCAGTATCATTAATGAACATGGTGGGTCTGATGCAGATGTGAAGGCGCGGATCGGCAAAGCAAGAGCAGCATATTTACAACTGAGGAACATCTGGAACTCAAAGCAACTGTCAACCAACACCAAGGTCAGAATTTTCAATACAAATGTCCAGACAGTTCTACTGTATGGACCACAAACCTGGAGAACTACGAAAGCTATCATCCAGAAAATACAGATGTTTATCAACAGTTGTCTACGCAAAATACTTCAGATCCGTTGGCCGGACACTATTAGCAACAACGTACTGTGGGAGAGAACAAACCAGATCCCAGCGGAGGAAGAAGCGCTGGAAGTGGATAGGACATACATTGAGGAAAGCACTCAACTGCGTCACAAGACAAGCCCTCACATGGAATCCTCAAGGCCAAAGGAAAAGAGGAAGACCAAAGAATACATTACGCCGAGAAATGGAAATTGACATGAAAAGGAGGCCCAGGACAGAGTGGGTTGGAGAATGCTGGTCGGCGGCCTATGCTCCATTGGGAGTAACAGGCGTAAGTAAGTAAGTTCATACATACCTTTTCATTGTCTTTTTGAACCACATTCCAACTGTTCACTTATTCCCATTATCATTACTGCTACAGTATTTCGATTCCTTTGCTATTGACTTTATTGCGTCGTACTAATATGGCATGAAAACTTAGGCCAATGTACATACGTGCCAGGCTCTACGCTGATCATTACTGGCTGACTGAAACTTGGTCACATTCTAATATGAAGTCTAACGAAACAACCGGGCTACCCAGATCGAAGCCGTGTAGCTTCCACTCTTGTAACACTAATCGTTAGGATTCGCTTTTTGTATCCACCAAGCAGCTATCCGATAAAGATTGCGAGATCAAATGTCATAGTCTACTTATTGCTCAGCCATCCAAGCACATTGATACCAAACTGACCAATTTACCTGAAGGTAACGAAGAAATTTTCTGTTTCACCAGCAACATATCTATCCTAATGTAATGTAAATTCTTTACATATTATGAAAATTCGGTAAAATGTAGCGAATTTTCCTGGTATTCCATTGCAAACGGATCACAAATAAAAACAACAGAATGCAATATGTTCTATTTATTTTGGAATGCGCAGGCGTTTTTGGATCTACTGCTTATTACTTCATAATGACGTGATCAGTATCAGTTTATTACCTACTTAGTAAGCGTCGACCAATGGTCAACTGAAATAATGTATTTGTGACCGTGTCTTAGTATTTCGACTCATTTATATTCAATTACATTGAAGTCCTAGATTGATATGATTACATGCTAAAATATTAATCTATAGATTGTCGAACACTTGATAAGAAGTGAATAGTGTAGATTCTGAGTCAATAATTTTTGATGGAACTATCGATGGTTCATAGCTTAACAATAGCGGGAGAATCAAAAATTTCAATTGATTTAGAATTACAAACATAACATTATGAATAAACTATTGTTAGTTCTTTACTTCATAGTTATTATTTGTCAATGCACTACATATGCTTAGTTATCGGTTACAATTTTTTTTACATATTATTATTGATTAGACTGAATATCTAACCTCACTATGGATTGACTGTCCAGAGTTAGAAATAAACCATTTCTCCTTTGTGAATATATTTAATTCTAATGTGTATAACAGAAATAGTAGTGATAATCAATTTTCTGACTGAATTTTTTATTTCAAAATTTAGTTTATTAACTTAGTATTCTTTCGATCCTTAACATGACACTTTATTAGCAGTTGTACAAGAAGCTTGTGATGACTTAAAATTACTAGAATAAAATGTACCGGATCAAATATATTTACATATAATATCTTTAATTTATTGATAGTATCTTTACTTTGATTTGTATTCAATAGCAGTTATTTTTTAAAAAGACCTACTGGTATGCTTCTATGCAAGTATATATGTACACTTGTGTATTAAGAGAATCTCGAGTTAGTGACAAACAAGTGGTGAACGAAGAAGAAGCATAGATGCAAAAAATCTAGTGATATAAATGAGAAAATGTATGGGTATTCAGAAGACGAGAGCTAAAATGTGAAAGAATAACAAGCCGTAATTAGTACAAGGCTTGTTTTACTATTTATGGTGATAATTTTACAACTGCTATCTTAATGGCTTTACTAAACGTGAACTGTTAAAAGTAATGTACAACTGTATCCAATTTATAAAAAACCAGATAGCTGAACTAAGACGATAATTTTTAATAGATGGCCTACTATTCTAACCAGTTTATATAAACTTTTATCCAATCGAAATACATTGTCGTAAGAAAAAGATAACATTACACAGTGACAAGTTTTTGTAATTAACGTCAACCTTCAAATAAAGGACGACAACGAATAACTCAAATTGACTATGAGCTATACTTATACCGCTGAACATAATTTGCTAAATTCCAAAAACAAATCAAGATTATGTGTCAATTAGAGACGAGTAAAGATATCCGAATAAGAGAAAATAGACGATAAATGGATTATCAGTACAGGGTTGTGGAGATTGTTGAGTTTTGATTGAGTTCATGAATGGATCAATGTTAGACCACCATTGGAACCCTGGAAGCACTGTACGGCTGTTTTGTCCCATACTAGGATAAATGGATTATTTTCAGTCAGGGATCAGAGTTCACGCTGAATTGTTTTGATAATCTTATATTACTATCAACAAATACAATCTGTACGCTTTGGCTGTTCGGCAATAAACCTACCACTGGAGTATACCATTTTGTCCAGTCCAGTTAGATTGGTTTTAATACTAACGTCTTGAACACTAGGCTGTAATATATCACGGACAATAAAATTAAATACAACGTAAAGTACTTGTTGAGACAGAAAACTTGTAAACTACACAACATTATGCGAAGAATAAAATTCATAACTGAAATTAGGTATGACATGTGTAATACATTACAAATGATAGTATAATTAATGTGTTCAAAAGTTTAGAGAAAATGGAATTAACTTGATGATAGATAAATAGGAAATGCGAAAATAAAAACAACGCAAATAACAAGCAGACAGTAAGAGCAAATATACGAGGGGAAAATAAGCAGTTGTGTAATATTGATTGAAAGTATGAATGAGTGTGAGAATTGCAATGTAGTTTAACATCGAACAAGTTTCATAAATTTGTTATTTTTTTAGTATTCATAAAAATATTACAAAGGGACTTGCAACACAAAATAATGTACTTAAAAATTACTCACGTTAGTTCAAACACTGAATGTTATAGACGTATATTAACTGGAATGGTATTTATTTGGTCAAATATATATATACCTCGTTCTTTCGAATTAACAACAGCAGACGTAACTAATCTGCTTTATTCCGAGATCTTTCTAGTTCATCCAGTGAAACCATATTCATACAAGCTGCATGAAGCTGAATAAAGCTAATCAATGTTTTCAGAAATGCCATTGGTGCTGTTAAACAAATCACTATGCCCCATAATCCAAAAGCAAACACTGGTCAAAGAAAGGAAAATAAAATAGACACAAATGAGGTGGAAGGTTTTTATATTATGTCATATGACTTTTTATAGTATTAATTACCATACTTCACTTGACAAAAAAGTTCATTACAGTTAAAATGAATGAAAAAGATATTACAACTCATTCCACAAATATAAACAACGTAAAACCTTGCATATATATTCAACCCTTCAATTTGTCATATCAGTTATAAAATAAATGTTTCTACACTTGTTATTGTATGAAAGTTCATATCTATTACTGTACAATTTCAAAGTCCAGTCTTAACCCTAACCTATGTATCATCAGATTTTTTAATTATGGAAAAATGAAGACAAACTAAGTATTACGACATAATGACATAATAAGTCATGTAGATTAAAGTACTACATTTGTCTTCATTGAGACAATAGCATTCATATAACAGCTTAAATTTACAAACTTAACTATTCTTGACACTAGCCTGAGCAAATGACACGGATCTATTAAGGTTTCAGAATTGCCTTACCATTAGAATGTGAAACACAAAATGGAAGAACAGTTATCGCTTACTAGTTAAATATCTATTGCTTAATGTGTGCTACTGTACATTAAAATAGTATTATCTAAACATTTGAAATCTAGAGAACATTTCCATATAGTAGACTTACATCGCTGGTAATCACATCCAAAAAAACTATGGCGTCATTGCAATATCAAAGTTAAAAAGGAATATTAGTCAAAAATCTGCTGGATTATTGTAAGGCACGGCTGTTATTACCTAAGGTGAATATTTATTTATTTGATCACATAAATATTGGTACAAGAGAGCGCCAATATATATGCATCACACAAAACAATGGGAATTCGAAGAGAAAGAAAAAAAACAGAACAACAACGAAGAGGTTGGTGTAAGGTAGTGTAGTAATAATGAGGGAACGGAAAGGTACAATCAGAAGAAATCTTTCAGTTAAGGGAGATACAACCACTTTTTATGAAGAAAGTAAAAGAAGGTTACAGAAGGATCACCACTGGCTTTTATTCTGAGCCACATCTGATAACGTCTCTAGCCACTATGTTGCACCATCTCTCGGACCCCAACCAGGGAGTCGTGAAGGACCGACAGAAGCCAGTCTCTTGCAGATTTCTTTCATACGACGACACCATGTCATGCACTGACCACCTCTCCGCTTTTTCCAACCAGTCCCAGAGTCGGCAAATAATGCACGACGTGGAATTCTCTGGGACGACATTCGTAGAACATGTCCAAGCCACCGAAGTCGGTGTTTTAAGATGGTGACACCAATTGCATTATCGTCTCTGTGCCCGAACACACGATGCCGAACCTCTGCATTACTGACATGGTGTTGCCACTGGATATCAGCAATCCTTCGGAGACAGCGATGATCGAACACAGAGAGTCTTCTAACGTCCTCAACTTGGAGAGGCCAGGTTTCACAAGCATAGAGCAAAACTGCTCTCACCGACGCGTTGTAGATCCGACCTTTTACAGCCAGACTAACATCACGAAGGCGTCAAAGGTGGCCCAGATTGGCATAAGCCGCTCTGGCTTTCACTATACGTGCATTGATCTCATCACTCACACCCCCATCAGCACTTATGCAGCTACCCAGATACACGAACTTCTCGACTACGTCTATCTGCTCACCATCCAGGGTGAGTACAGGATTGGAATCCTGCCAGTCTTGTAGAAGTACTTTGCACTTAGAAGGTGCAAAGCACATACCATACCTACGGACACTGATTGCCAACTGATTAAGTGCGGATTGCATGGCTTGGGCATTATCACGCAGTAAGACGATATCATCCGCATACTCAAGGTCGAGAAGTCTTTCTCCAGACAACAGATCTACACCACCATTACTTACATCCATCAGATCTGTTTCCAGAATGTCGTCGATGGCAAAGTTGAAGAGGAATGGTGAGATTGGGCAACCCTGCCTAACCCCACTGCTCGAACGAAACAATGGAGAGAGGTGGTTGTATGCCCTCACTCTGCCTAAGGTGTTTGTATATAGGGCTTTTAGGATGTTAATAAACTTCTCAGGCACACACTTCTTCAATAGACAATCCCAGAGAACAGTCCTATCCAACGAATCGAAGGCAGCGCTGATGTCAAGAAACACTACGATTGTTGGCCTTTGATAAGTATGGCGGTGTTCTAACATTTGGCGGAGGGTGAAGATATGATCAATACATCCTCGACCAGAACGAAACCCAGCCTGCTCCTCGCGAGTCAATCTTTCCCGAGTTTTGAACAACCTACGAAGTATGACGGAAGCCAATAGCTTGGACGCAATCGGAAGTAGACTTATCCCCCGATAGTTGTTACAGGAACGACGTGAACCCTTTTTAAAGATAGGGACAACTATCGACTCATTCCATGACGTTGGTACACACTCTAGTTCCCAAACCTTTGTAAACAACGTCGTCAATTCCTTAGTTAGAAAGTCACCACCATCTTTAAAAAGAGCCGGAGGTAAGTCATCTGGGCCAGGTGATTTGTAACGCTTCAAGAGTTGGAGTTCCTTGCGGACTTCCTCCTCGTTTGGTGGATCAGTCGTCACCGGCCATGGAGGGCAGGACAGTCTGACCGATGTTGCCGGAGCAGCAGGCCAGTTGAACTGCCCTTCGAAGAATTCTGCCCATCGTCCAAGATGTCGATGGATGTTAGTGATTGGCATCCTATCGTCCTCGCAGATTGTTTCGCTCACACCAGACTTCTTGCTGCCAGTGGCTCGGATGAGTTGGAAGAGCTTCCAGTAATCACCAGATGCAGCTGTTTCTTTCAACTCATTAGCACGCTTCGACCACCAGGCTTCTCGGTCCTTACGCAAGCTTTGCCCAATTTCCCTACGTAACATCCTTCGTTTGTGGTCAAACTCACGGTCACCCGGAGTAGACCGACGGGCTTCAATGAGTTGTAAGGAACCAGAAGGAACCCAGTGCTTATAAGCGGGACGATTCGCAAACCCACAACTGACTGTTCCCGCCATTTTCATGGCGTCATGCAATTGCAACCAATGCTCATCTATACTTTTCGGTAGAATGGTAGTTAGCCTAGAAGCTAACTCGGTTCGATACTTACTAGCAACAGAAGTTGAAACCAGCTTGCTAACATCAATCCGTTGGTGGCGGTCACTTCATTGTCCACCGAAAAGTAAGGTAAGATTGGCGCAAACCAAAGCATGGTCAGAGTCCAGATAGGTACTCCAAAAGGAGCGGCAGTCTTGTACACAACCACGCCAGCGGTAGCTGATCGCGATGTGATCAATCTGAGTCCAGGCTTGGGATGCAGAGGGAGGACGCCAGGTGGCATATCGGCGATGACTGTGCCGAAAGTTAGTGCTAGCCAGAAACAGGTTGTGGTCTGTGCACAGTTGCAGTAGACGGTCCACGTTATCTGACCTGCGACCAACGAGTCCCCATCGGCCACCTAAACGACTCTCTTCTGTGCCTAGACGCCCGACCTGAGCATTCAAATCTCCGGCTAGTACTACAATATCTGTCGAACGCACTTTCTGGAGAACACTTAACTGGTGGCAAAACTCATCCTTGATTGCATCCGGGCTGCAATCTGTCGGGGGATAGGCGCAGATGACGAAGAGACATCGTTTCTCATGCCGATTTCTTCTCACTTTGATGGAACTTTCTAATCTAACAGCACATAACCGACTGTTAATGGGGATACAATCGATTAGTGCTGCCTCAGCTCTAGCGCTTAGTGCGACACCAACGCCAGCAAGACCAGACGAAGATGCCACAGGGTCCCCGGATAAGCGCACGTAAAACAAGCTTTTCGAAGCGACAGATGGAGATCGAATTTGTAGTACTTTGCCCCCGAACGCCCTGGTACGGCCGAGAGTGGGGAGAGTCCGCTCTCCCTCTCGAAATACTCTCACACGGCCGCGCGTATACAGCCTCTGCCAGGGAAGTCCTACTCATTGCCTTCTCGCGGCGGGGGTGTTGTTTACGAAAATGAGAGGACGAAAAGCGAACGTCCGGCGCTTTAACCGGATCACAAACCAATGGTGCACATGGGCTCCAGTATCCTGAGGGAACAAATGGCGTATGAACCAATCGTTGGTCACCGGCTACCATGGGATTGCATCTCCTTACGATGTTCCACTGCCTTGTGGGTTAGACCATTTGGTCAAAGGCTCGGGGTGTGGCCCCCTAAGACAACCACCTGCTTCGGTTTGGGCACCCGGGCAGTATCACAGCCCACACACAAACGATGAACCCTATGACTATGGCAACGAATTTTCTCGCTCCGATATATAATCAATCGATTCCAATAATTATTACTATTATTGTCATTATTATTATTATTATTAGTACCATTATTGTCATTATTATTATTATTATTATTATTATTATTATTATTATTATTATTATTATTTTCCACATTGTTCTCCCTCTTTTATACTTATACAGCGGCTCGTCTTTGGTGGAAATTCGACTGTATCTAAACGTTCTCGAGTCACTGTCCGGTTGAAAATTGTATGTTCCACCGACTACGAGAACTGAAGCAGTTTTTCTGAAACCACGTGCACCATTCAAACTGGCTGCCTTCAACGTTCGCACGCTAGTGCACGTCGGACAACAGATAGGGCTGGCTATGTCTTTGGAAAGTCTTAATATTGATGTTTGTTGTCTATCCGAGACCCGTATTCAAGACTCTGGCGAAGTACTACAAATTCGATCTCCATCTGTCGCTTCGAAAAGCTTGTTTCACGTGCGCTTATCCGGGGACCCTGTGGCATCTTCGTTTGGTCTTGCTGGCGTTGGTGTCGCACTAAGCGCTAGAGCTGAGGCAGCACTAGTTGATTGGATCCCCATTAACAGTCGGTTATGTGCTGTTAGATTAGAAAGTTCCATCAAAGTGAGAAGAAATCGGCGTGAGAAACGATGTCTTTTCGTCATCTCCGCCTATGCCCCGACAGATTGCAGCCCGGATGCAATCAAGGATGAGTTTTACCACCAGTTATCTGTTCTTCTCCAGAAAGTGCGTTCGACAGATATTGTAGTACTAGCCGGAGACTTGAATGCTCAGGTCGGGCGTCTAGGCACAGAAGAGAGTCGTTTAGGTGGCCGATGGGGACTCGTTGGTCGCAGGTCAGATAACGGGGACCGTCTACTGCAACTGTGCACAGACCACAACCTGTTTCTGGCTAGCACTAACTTTCGGCACAGTCATCGCCGATGTGCCACCTGGCGTCCTCCCTCTGCATCCCAAGCCTGGACTCAGATTGATCACATCGCGATCAGCTACCGCTGGTGTGGTTGTGTACAAGACTGCCGCTCCTTTTGGAGTACCTATCTGGACTCTGACCATGCTTTGGTTTGCGCCAATCTTACCTTACTTTTCGGTGGACAACGAAGTGACCGCCACCAACGGATTGATGTTAGCAAGCTGGTTGCAACTTCTGTTGCAAATAAGTATCGAACCGAGTTAGCTTCTAGGCTAGCTACCACTCCACCGAAAAGTATAGATGAACATTGGTTGCAATTGCTTGACGCCATGAAAATGGCGGGAACAGTCAGTTGTGGGTTTGCGAAACGTCCCGCTTTTAAGCACTGGGTTTCTTCTGGTTCCTTACAACTCATTGAAGCCTGTCGGTCTACTCCGGGTGACCGTGAGTTTGACCATAAACGAAGGATGTTACGTAGGGAAATTGGGCAAAGCTTGCGTAAGGACCGAGAAGCCTGGTGGTCGGAGCGTGCTAATGAGCTGGAAGCAGCAGCTGCATCTGGTAACTACCGGAAGCTCTTCCAGCTCATCCGAGCCACTGGCAGCAAGAAGTCTGGTGTGAGTGAAACAATCTGCGAGGATGATGGGATGCCAATCACTAACATCCATCGACGTCTTGGACGATGGGCAGAATTCTTCGAAGGGCAGTTCAACTGGCCTGCTGCTCCGGCAACATCGGTCAGACTGTCCTGCCCTCCATGGCCGGTGACGACTGATCCACCAAACGAGGAGGAAGTCCGCAAGGAACTCCAACTCTTGAAGCGTTACAAATCACCTGGCCCAGATGACTTACCTCCGGCTCTTTTTAAAGATGGTGGTGACTTTCTAACTAAGGAATTGACGACGTTGTTTACAAAGGTTTGGGAACTAGAGTGTGTACCAACGTCATGGAATGAGTCGATAGTTGTCCCTATCTTTAAAAAGGGTTCACGTCGTTCCTGTAACAACTATCGGGGGATAAGTCTACTTCCGATTGCGTCCAAGCTATTGGCTTCCGTCATACTTCGTAGGTTGTTCAAAACTCGGGAAAGATTGACTCGCGAGGAGCAGGCTGGGTTTCGTTCTGGTCGAGGATGTATTGATCATATCTTCACCCTCCGCCAAATGTTAGAACACCGCCATACTTATCAAAGGCCAACAATCGTAGTGTTTCTTGACATCAGCGCTGCCTTCGATTCGTTGGACAGGACTGTTCTCTGGGATTGTCTATTGAAGAAGGGTGTGCCTGAGAAGTTTATTAACATCCTAAAAGCCCTATATAAAAACACCTCAGGCAGAGTGAGGGCATACAACCACCTCTCTCCATTGTTCCATTCGAGTAGTGGGGTTAGGCAGGGTTGCCCAATCTCACCATTCCTCTTCAACTTTGCCATCGATGACATTCTGGAAACAGCTCTGATGAATGTAAGTAATGGTGGTGTGGATCTGTTGTCTGGAGAAAGACTTCTCGACCTTGAGTATGCGGACGATATTGTCTTACTGTGCGATAATGCCCAAGCCATGCAATCCGCACTTAATCAGTTGGCAATCAGTGTCCGTAGGTATGGTATGTGCTTTGCACCTTCTAAGTGCAAAGTACTTCTACAAGACTGGCAGGATTCCAATCCTGTACTCACCCTGGATGGTGAGCAGATAGACGTAGTCGAGAAGTTCGTGTATCTGGGTAGTTGCATAAGTGCTGGTGGGGGTGTGAGTGATGAGATCAATGCACGTATAGTGAAAGCCAGAGTGGCTTATGACAATCTGGGCCATCTTTGGCGCCTTCGTGATGTTAGTCTGGCTGTAAAAGGTCGGATCTACAACGCGTCGGTGAGAGCAGTTTTGCTCTATGCTTGTGAAACCTGGCCTCTCCGAGTTGAGGACGTTAGACGACTCTCTGTGTTCGATCATCGCTGTCTCCGAAGGATTGCTGATATTCAGTGGCAACACCATGTCAGTAATGCAGAGGTTCGGCATCATGTGTTTGGGCACAGAGATGATAATTCAATTGGTGTCACCATCTTGAAACACCGACTTCGGTGGCTTGGACATGTTCTACGAATGTCGTCCCAGAGAATTCCACGTCGTGCATTATTTGCCGACTCTGGGACTGGTTGGAAAAAGCGGAGAGGTGGTCAGTGCATGACATGGTGTCGTCGTATGAAAGAAATCTGCAAGAGACTGGCTTCTGTCGGTCCTTCACGACTCCCTGGTTGGGGTCCGAGAGATGGTGCAACATAGTGGCTAGAGACGTTATCAGATGTGGCTCAGAATAAAAGCCAGTGGTGATCCTTCTGTAACCTTCTTTTACTTTCTTCATAAAAAGTGGTTGTGTCTCCCTTACTTGAAAGATTTCTTCTGATTGTACTTTTCCGTTCCACTGTTACGAGCACACTAAATTACACCAATCTCTTCGTTATCATTCTCTTTTGTGCTCCTTGGTTTTTTTTTTTTCTATCTCTTCGAAGTTACATTGTTTTGTGTGGCGCATATATATTGGCGCTCTCTTGTACCAATATTTATGTGTTAAAATAAATAAATAAAAGAGTCTTGAATACGGGTCTCGGATAGACAGTAGACATCGATGTTAAGACTTTCCAAAGACATAGCCAGCCCTATCTGTTGTCCAACCTGCATAAGTGTGTGAACGCTGAAGGCAGCCAGTTTGAATGGTGCACGTGGTTTCAGAAAAACTGCTTCAGTACTCATATTCAGTGGTAACATAAAATTTTTAACCAGACAGTGACTCGAGAACGTTTAGATACAGTCGAATTTCCACCAAAGACGAGCCGCTGTATAAGTATAAAAGAGGGTGAATAATGTGGTAAATAATAATAATAATGACAATAATGGTACTAATAATAATAATAATAATAATAATAATTTGAATCATTTGATTGTTATTCGAAGCGAGAAAGGTAGTTTCCATGGATATAGAGAGTTCATCATTTGCGTGTGGGCTGCGATACTGCCCAGGTGCCCAGACCGAAGCAGGTGGTTATCTTAGGGGGCCACACCCCGAGCCTTTGACCTGTAGGTCTGATCCACAAGGCAATGGAGCATCACAAGGAGATGCAGTCCCATGGAAGCCGGTGACCAACGATTGGTTCATATGCCATTTGTTCCCGCAGGATATTGGAGCCCATGTGCATCATTGGTTTGAGTTCCGGTTAAAGCGCCGGACATTCGCTTTTCGTCCTCTCATTTTCGTAAACAACACCCCCGCCATGAGAAGGCAATGAGTAGGACTTCCCTGGCAGAGGCTGTTTACACGTGACCGTGTGAGAGTATTTCGAGAGGGAGAGCGGACTCTCCCCACTCTCGGCCGTACCAGGGCATTCAAGGTGAATATCAGATAGAGCTGTTGTGTTATGTCATGTTGTTATTAATTTACCTGGGAGAACGTCAACTGCCAGTCAGTCAGTTATATACAACGTTAATATAATTAACTGATTTGTATGATAGATTGATGTACAGCAAGCAAGTGGTCACCAACGACAACTGAACTTAGCTTAAATACAACAGTTCCCATTTCTAGCTTTTCACACACCCATTTTTCAAGCGGTAATCAAAATACCCATGGATATTTCCGTTAACCAAATTGAAGAACCAGCCTATATTCTTTATGAGTGGCTTTAAATGGGTTGTGGTTCAGTTCCAGAGAACGCTTAAAGATTTAAAATCAGCGAAATTACGTGTTGGTACATAAATGATGAGCTATAATTAAAACTTTATCACGCGAACAGACAAACCACTGACTCTCTATAGTTATATGATCTTCAGAGTTTTGGCTATCTAGTCTAATCCATAAAAAGTTACACTTACAGTAGAACATGAAAAATGAAATGTGTGGACTTGCCTTTTGGTCCAGTATAGAAATGGTATATATAGAGCGTTGTATAGAAAAGCTCATTTCCTGCACACATCAAGAAAAGAACGACCTATATATAATGAAGAATAAATTTTGGAAATGACATGACTTACCCTATTTGTATAGTACAATCTGAGAAATCGATTTGCTTTAAGATCTATAGATTTGTGACTTGATTTTCCCGATAAAATAGAACTAAACCAGTAATAACGAAATGAATTCTCACCTGTGTAAATGTAACCAATGGCTAGCTATGTCCACAATCATAATGAATTGAAAGAAAAGCATGTATGGTGGATAAAAATAAGTAAGACAAGCCAATAAACACATTGTCGAGCATCGGTCAACAATCATGTCTAACATAGCACCAAAGTTCGTACCTGAATGAAATCATTGAAAGACGTTACTGAAAGTCTTACTCTGGTTTAGCGCGCGTGCACAACAACCATCTACTGCATCCAATAGACACGAAATAATGTACGTCAGAAGAGTGAGCTCACAATTAGTTTTCATAAAATAACATGCTTGAAACAAAAGTACGATTCGTATGTAACCTGCAAGAATCAGATTCAAATAACACCATAAGATATGTTCTGCTTTTTCTATATTTCTTTTTTATTTACAAGCAAAAAATACCACTCAAACTTTTCCACTCTCAGTCAAATAGTCGTTTAACACACTGAATGTCATCTCGTAATGGAATACTTTAAACGACTTCTACAATGGTACCAAATATACCTTTAAACAATGGTAAAAGCCCACGACAGCTATGTTGTTCATTTGATATTTTTCCTTCATAAATAATTAGTGAACAAAAGTGAACTGTAGAATTGTGAAATGTTAGATATTTCTACAAACTTCTAACTACTTAAGACAATGAAGAATATATATAATGAAGCAAGCCATAATTGTGCATTGATTTACTTTTTCGTAGTTCACATCAGCACAGTAAGGGAAAACTAACGAAATTAAAGGTAAATAAATTTAAATAATAATATCCATAGTAGTAAAACATTAAATACAGAATAAGTAGTCGAAAAAGAACGAACGAAACTAGGATGAGAAATACATAAGATAACAATAAAGACCTGAATTTAGGGGTAGATAAAGCGGGAATATAATCTGTGTAACCCGAGATTTTTCGCCAAATATTATTATTAGCTCAAAAGGACTGATCGAGAAGCCTTTGAGTTTGAAAGAATAATGAAAAGGAAAAAAAGACAAATAAATGATTCAATGTAAGTGGAGAGATTAAAAATGAACTGTATGGATCCTCACATACCCACTTAAATGTTGGAATTTCAAGTACATATACCGCAGATAAGAGCTGGGCTATGCTCTGGAGTAAAGTGCTTTACAAACCATATTTCTCCGGCAAACAGTCCTTCCCAATTAGGTTACTGAACTACTGATGAGCTATAGCGATAAGTCATATACATAAACGGTGATTGCGATTTATTAAGTGAACTGAGTAAATAATCAAATAAGACAGAAAGAGTTTATCTTTCTTAATGGCTAGTCGAAGTAATTCAACAGTGATTGTTGGGATTCAGAATAAAATCTCCAGTTTAACCTGAACATCAGCAAGTTTTAGTCCTACCTCATTAGAGAACATATACCTGTGGAAGGTATCTGGATAAGTACTCCTAGTTGTTGCTACGATTCTATCCACGTTCTATCTTTGTCAAACCTAGATATTGAATTGATTATTATTCTACACTTTGTATCATATGATTCCACTTTTTTTATTGAGAACATTTTAATTGCATTTGACATTATTTTTCTAAAAGTTCCACATCATGTTAATTTCTTCACATTATCCAAATGCGGGGTGAAAACTTAAGCTAATACACATTCGGACTACGTTATACAGTAAATACGACAGGTGGTTAAGTGCTCGCGCGCGAAGCAAGTAGGTCCTGGGTTCGAGCCCCGCGTGGTGCGGGATCGTGGATGCGCACTGCTGAGGAGTCCCATACTAGGACGAAACGGCCGTCCAGTGCTTCCAGGTTTTCAATGGTGGTCTAGCTTCAACTGACTCATGATTCCAATCTGTGAAACTTCTGAAATCTCCACACAAAAAAACCATTCTGATAATTACCATACTGTTAGAGATTAGAATTTCACTCCTTGCAATTAGAAAGCATTTAGGGATTCTTTAATTATTGAGCAAAAATCAATCGTCGGTTTATAGTATGCAATAATATGATATGGCCATTTGCCCACAACACAGAGTCGGTGACGAAAGCCTACAGATACCGGGAGACAAAACAACCAACATTCAACCACTATAATAGTAGAACGTATGTCAATCTCGATGATTCTAAGGTGGCTTGTGGAAGGTGGATATGATCAGATTATGATCTAATAAAATGGATGACCTTTTATCTATCAACTAATGAAGTGATAGTGAAGCATCGAACATAACGGTCATGTTTAATCTCATATCCTTATTATATCGAAGTTCGGTTTTGCCTGACCCACAATCTCAGCCATCCTTTTTGTGACATTGTATCTGTCTCCAGTTCCATTGTATGGACGACTGTAGTCGAAATATACTTTCTTGGCCCGATATCTGACTACAGGTAGAACGTTCACTGCTTGTTATCGACTTATGCATATCTTCAATCCTCGTATATAATTATCGACTTAAATCACGTTGATGAATAGCGGAATCAGATAAGTCAAATACGATAATGGATTTTCGGAGACGTTTATTTCGTACAATTGTTCATCAGAAAGCGAAACAAAACGAAATGATGCGCAGTGGAGAAGGCGAGTGACCGAATTCGATTTTATCACGCGTGACTCAATATTTATTGTCCGACAAAAATAAGTTACAGATATGTGATAAGATAAGAAATGCACACACGTTTATATAAAAAGTCAAGGTTGACAAGCGAATAGTTAACGAGGTCAACTTGTGACTCAACATGGATGAATAAATTGGTTTATTCGAACTCTAGAATAAGCTATTTGGCCGTACCATAGAACCAGCCCCTACAATACATCCTGGCTACTCTCGTATATTTTCAGTGATTTACACTGCGTTAGTGAATGACCGAGATAAATAATTGAAATACGAAAATAGATTTTGGACACGTATACTTTATACGCTTGTCGATCTAGACAGACGATCAAAAATACGAAGCGAAGGTGGAGAAAAGAGAGCGAAGCGAAACGAATCGGAGAAGGCATGTGAGCCAACTCGATTCAACCAAACGTGAATCGATATTTACAGTCAAGTAAAAATAAGTTTCTCAGGACAGTGTTTGATGGAGAATGCTTGTGGGCGGTCTATGCTCTTCCACAAGGGATAACAAGAGTGATTAAGTAAGTTCGTAATGAATAGGGTAAGTAATTAACACATATGCAATCATATAAAAAAGCAGTCAGAGTTAATGAGCGAATAGGTGACAGGGTAAAAATGCGGCTTGAGAAGAATGAATAGGTTGGTCTGTCCAAAGGCCAGAATAACCTATGCGGGCTTGACATAGTATCAGCCGCACTACGTTCTCTCATGTCACGACCATTTGGATTCTATAAGTAGTCTTCTTGGTAGAAGCTCTGAGAAACATTCGAAGCATTTGTCAAACCTTCTGCCTGTTTACTTTATTCATATATATCTGTTTCCAAAATTGGTTTACGATTCTTATCACAAAAAGGTATAGATTGTTGCAAAGAAGAACATATATTTACTATGACACGGTCCCTTGAATGCAATATTCCAAGAGATTTCATCATTGAACCGTTCTCTCACCTTAAAACTATTCGAATCATTAGTTTTCGGGAGTTTTCAAAAGATTCCTTTGTCTAAACTACACTTGAGATAAGACTCATAATAACAATAGTAAATGCCTAAAAGCATACAATCAGGGTAGATGTTCAAGGACTACTTATTACGAAAAATAATTGAAGCTGTTATTATATTTCTTTGGATACATGTTGCAAGCAAGTATCACATAAATGCTAGCCACCACGATCTCTAGAGTGAAAATATGAGATGGCAATGACATTTCATCTAACACCATCAATCAACCTACCTGTAGTTCAGTGTTGAGACAAGCAGGTTACATGAAACCTGGCTGCTTTGTTTGTGGCTATTTTTGAAAAAAAAACTGTCTAACTTGATATAGGAAAGGATGACGCTTGAGAACTCTGGTGAAACGTTTACAAACACTTAAAAGACTATAAGCACGATGCTTCCTATCTAACGTATTTTCTGGGTTCCTATGCTGTGGTAATAAAACAGCAAAAAAGAAAGACTTCTGATGATTAATACAAAGCAAAACGCGCCAAGAATTTAAAACTATGGATCATTAGCTTGGATATATTTCGCGTATTGATGTTCCGAAAGATTATTAGCACATTTTAATCCGCTCGTGAAGACCCATTATAAGAGATTCCGAAATTATTAATTAATTGGAGCGAAATGAGAGCTGAATTACTGCAGCACTAACAAGTTGCTAGATGAACATCAGGATTTAAACCCTAATAACACTCCAGGTGTCGATGAAACAAGAGGGTCGAAAGAGTAATCAGCTAATGGACAACTCGGACTCAAATACCGGCAAAGATATTTATCCGAAAAATCTATTGTGCGAAGGCAAGCAGTTTATATTATAATGGGAACTAAGTGAGAAATGAGAAAACTACTAGCATTTAGCAGATCGAAAGTTGAAAACTACATAAAAATTCGTGTAAGTTCTACAACAAACATCTCGACCATGTATGCATGCAGTGACTACCACCCACGAAATACAACGATACACATATAAAATAGGAATACAAAAGGAAAATATAGGCTATGAACATCTGACAAAATACTACTTCTTACATCATTCGAAGTACGCAAAAAAAATTAGACACATAACAAGTAACATAGATAAACGTTTCGTACCAAGTATATTTGGGATAAACAGAAACACGCTCATTTTTCTTCAGGTATTCTGTGAAATAGATGTGTCCACTGTCCAGAAATATTACGAACAAAAAACACGTGAATAGTATAACGTCCAGTCAGCGACAGTTCAAATTTTAATCTGCTCTCACAAGAGGTTTTACTGAACCCCAAAAGTACTATCGTTGAGCAACAGCAGTTCAATCAGCTACAAAAATATCTGAATAGGATAAATAAAACCAAAGTGCAGAATTAGAAGGCTACGCACTGAAGGAGCGGTAGAAAGTACCTTGTACTACTATTCAAAGTACCCGAAATTACTTACGAAAAAAGGATAACCTACAACCATACTTGTAAAACGAAAGTATGGAGACGTAACACTACTGACCTTGACTCAAATCCCCGGGACTCTGGAAGACATTACGTTAGATGTATATAACAATCAGTCTTCAGTTATAGGGATAGGAGGTCTATCGACCTATATTAATCCTTGCAGTTTGTACTACTGTGAAGGTCCAATCTCGTTTTGAATATATTAACAGATGGTGCTGATATTACGTGTTCCGGTAGAGAATTCCAGTAATTCACTACTCGGTGCGAGAAACGGAACTCCAGACGTAAACAATTTGATCTCGGTTTTTGAACTTTGTCAGAATGTCCTCTCAAATGATCGGTTCTAGACGGAAGCAAAAGATAAGACATGTTAATACCAAGGTCATCGTCCAGTATATGATAGGCCAATATTAGATCACCCCTTATTATTATTATTATTCACAAAAATCTTATGGGTACATAAGTGTTGTGAAGAAACCATTTCGGGTTTCTTCAGAAAATGCAATAATTCACAATTTTCATTAATGTTAGCATTATACTTGCCATATTTAAAAAATAAAATAAAATATTAAAAAAATTTAGAATAATAATAGTAGAATATTAATAATAATAAATCAGGTCTGTTTAATTGAGAAGAATATTGAATTGAGTTTAAAGAAGGAAATGAAGAAAATAAGGGAATAGAAATAAAGGAGACGTGAAATACGCAAACAGTGTAATAGGCGTGTTTATAAACACAGAACAAGAATAAACGACTATGTGTGTATCGTTAAATTAGTAACAAAAAATAATTTATCATTGAAGTAAGATATGACGCTAGAATTAATGTTTGTGCAGTTATAGTTTAGAGTGATGCTATGAAAGTCACAATTAAAAGAAAAGGATAATAAAATCACTCTGTATGAGTCATATATGCATAGTGAAGATAAAACGAATCTGAGAAGTTAATTAAAGTGTAACACAAGTTATTGTCTTAATTAGAAACTTCATAATCTTAAGAATAAGATTTATTTAGAAGGGAAGAAGAAAGAGAAAAGAAGTGAACACCTAGTGTAAAGGTTCATCCATGATAAGAATAATAATTGTGTAATGAATATCAACCTCAGAAGGAAACCAGCAATTGAAAAAAATAAAAAATAAAAATCCTTTAAAGCACTCGGATGAATACAATTAGATTTATGTAATAGTATACAAAATGAAACCGGATATTAGTATAAATATTTGTGCAACAATGATGAAGATTGATTACATGAAAGTCAAAATGATTTCAAAGGACAATCTGGAGTTAAATATGTTTAGAAGGATAAGAAGAGATAAAAAGAATGTCTAATGTGTCGGGGAATTGTTGATGATATTATTAACGGTAATAATGATAAACACGAACATAAGCAGACTTCATATATTAAGATAAAGAGAAATAATACAAAATAGACGTGAAAAGATTTAAAGTTTTTATTTTGCTTTTCTAGCAATTAAGTAGATGACGGACCTTGTTTGTATAAATCATTATTGAATACATTGATATTCAATAGGTGACACAATCCACTTTAGGTAAGAAAATCATCAAGGAGACTTTTGAACTGGCTTGTAGTTTCACTGCAACGGAGGTTCACTGGCAGTTTGTTCCACATGGTTGAATAGCGAATAACGAAACATTTCTGGCGTAAGTTTGTGTGGGTTCTTGGAATCGCTAGAATATTCTCCCTACTGCTTGGATTGTGGAATGGTATCACAGAGTATGAAGGGGTGGATACCGATGAGTAGGAAATGCCGTTAATAAGTCGGTAGATAAAGACAAGATCCGTCTGGTCCAGAGAGGTTCTAATTTGAGTTGTTGACATCTTTGGTGATAGTCTTTGTTGTCGGAATACCCCAGAACAGCTTTGGTGAACTTTCTTTGAACACCTTCAATTCCAATCAGGTCATTATGCCTGCAATAACTGTTAACTAAAATACCATATTCAAGAATGGGTAAGATACATTTTCTGTATAGTAACAATCTCGATTAGATATTATTGAAGTTTATCATTATCAATCCGACGAGCTTTCTAGCTTTGGATACTTGAGATATAATGTGTTCAGAAAAGTTCAGACTGTTGCTAAATCTCAAGCCCAAGTCACAAACAGTGTCGAGAGGTGTGAGTGTATGTGTCTGTACAGTCAGATTTAAGTTAATACAGCGACCAATGTGAATAAATACACTTTTGTCAACATTAAGTGGCATATTCCACGAAATAGTCCATTCGTACAACTTGTTTATTTCCTCCTGGATTATCGCTGAAATATAGCTTTCTTTCATGGGAGAAGAGAATGAATAAACTACTTTTAGGTCACCGGCAAAAAGGAAAGGTTTGTCATACTGAAAGAGGGAACACACATCATTGATAAAAAGGAGAAAGAGTAATGGACCAATCACACTTCCTTGTATAACCCCACTGGTTACATTTACAGGTTTAGAGTAGCAAGATCCAAAGCGAACGATTTGGCTACGTTCTTCTAAAAAAGATTTGAGCCAAGATAAAAGGGGATTCTGTATGCCAAATGAAGAGAGTTTTAAAAGAAGAAGTTTGTGTGAGACACTGTCGAAAGCCTTACTAAAATCGAAGTAAAGAATTATCACTGACTGACCAACATCTCTTCTCTGGGTAATTTGATCAAAAAACTCCAGATGCGATGTGAAACATGAGCGTTTAGTCATAAACCCATGTTGGGATGGGCTGATCAGACTAGCTGAAAGTAAAATTGGTAGTAGCTGTTTGTGGATGATTTTTTCCATGGTTCTTGAGAGCACGGATGTCAAATTAATTGACCTATAGTTAATAATATCACTACATGGTCCTGTTTTGAATCTAGGGGTTATAAGGGATGTTTTCCATACAGATGGATAGGTCCCATATTCCATAGATAGATTGAAAAGTTTCAAACAAAATAGTGGAAATTCTCTACTCCCATATTTCACAAATGATGTAGGTATCCCGTCAGGTCCACCATCATAAGACTTTTTCAGGGCAGTTATGGCCTGCTTGATGGCGGAGGGTGTGAAATCAATTTTAGACAGATGTCTGGATGTTAGCATTGGAAATGTAATGATGGAGCTTTCAGTTCCAGTTTTGTAGCACTGCGAGAAGTGCTTGCTGAATTGTTTGCATATAGTATTCGGGTCGTTAACAATGCTTCCGTTAACTATGAAGAATTTGGTTGTGCCAAGGGAATTTGACTTTTCATGGGATTTAAAAAGTCGAAGTAATGATAATTCTGGGCTTTTACTACGTAGTGCTTTATTTTCTATATTCATGAAATACTTACGTTTAGATGAAGCATTTCTGTTGATTAATTTAAGTATACTCTGAAGTGCATACACATCATTCTGCTCATAGTAGTGGTATTTTTATTTCCTCAGCTTTCTTTTAAAAGTATTTTGGCCCCTATTAGCATTATAAGACACACGGTCAATAACTGGAGCAGTGCAGTCAAGACAATATATCAGGTTGTGATATAGATTGGAAAGCGCGATGTCAACATTATTTGTGGTAAAATAAGTTTCCCATGGTAAACATTGAATGAGAGTTTCAGTCCGTTTCCATGTTTGCTGATCAAAATATCTGCTCTGGTACGTCATTCATTTGATCTGGAATCTCTGTGAAGTTGGGGTTGATGAGATATTTAAGCGGATTGAGAATGTTCATGTCTACTTGCAACTTTTTTATAGCATCCATATGGTTGCAGTTGCGATTATCATCACTGTTTACCATCAGAGTTTTCAACATGTCTGGAATGGAGACAACTGGTAAAACTTTGTCTGCTTCCGGATGAACGGAGTGGCTCGTCTCGTTGAAACTGTTGGAAATCGTGTCAGTAGTGGTGTTAAATTGTGTCGTTTTCCTACGTTTGGCTGAACGCCTAGAAGCAAGGGTCTTCATTTAATTTTGTGGCATAATAAGAAAGTGACGTATAGCAAGTGGATTGAACAGAATGTTGGAAACAGAAAAGGGTGAAAAAAATCAATTCCGAGGGCTCAAGTTAGTCTAAAAATCAAAATCTATGTTTTAACCAAAAGTCAATGTATCGTGAGGATTAGTGATGTTAAAAACAGAAGATGACAATGGCAGGAAGATAGTAGTGGAGATGAAATATTTATGTCAGTATCTGTGTGGAGGCAAAATAGAATATAAAGGAGCAAGTTGTGTAAATTTTAACACATATGACATGAAAGATAGCCTTATATAGTAAAGTAATTTAGAAATGTCGATAATTAATATCAAACAATCAAAAAAGGTACGGTACGTGGTACATATATAAACTGAAAGTCCGTATTAGTAAAAATTGGGAGGTGCAGAGACAAGTAGTTTAGAAGATTATTACCGTCTAAGATTATTATGTTGTTTCTTGAACAAATATATGGAACAGCTTTTTAGAAAAAAAGATAACGGAAATAAGTTAAGGTGTCTCAGTCTGTCTTCATAAGATAGGCCAGATAGACCTTGTACCATCTTAGTAGCTCGTCGTTGGACTCTTTCTAGCATACCTGCTTCATATTTGAAACAAGGGCATCCTGCTTGAATCCCGTATTCTAAATGTGGTCGCACATAAATCGGGTATAGTAATCTAGACATTTCATCATCTAAATACTGGAAAGACCTACGAATTGACCATAATACCCTATAACCTTTCGCGGCAGCAGCCTTACAGTGACTAGTCGTTTTGAGATCATTGCGTAATATGACTTCTAAATCTTTATAGTTTCTTACTTTTGGTAGCACGAATCCACGTAGTGTATAGTCATACGATTCATCAGAGTTATTTAACTGCATCACTACACTCTTATTAGGATTTGCTTCTAGTGACCATCTATCTAACCATGCTATCAATGAGCTAAGATTATTTTGTAATACTATCCTATCCGACATACTATGTATGGGTCTCCAAATCTTTATGTCATCAGCGAAGAGTAGAACGGATGATTTTGCTACAGTTGGCAATTCATTTACATAAAGTAAAAAGAGAAGAGGACCCAGGATTGTACCTTGGGGAACCCCACCTTTTACAGGTATCCACGAGGAGAGAGTCCCAT